CTGAAATATTTAAAAATTTATCTATATCGAAAAAAGGTGATATCATTTTAGGTTTTTTCGAAATTTCATTTTCTTGAATGGCAAAATTAAGTATAATATCGTATATTATGTGATACGAACATTACTCTTATACTAAAACGTTTTTTTAATCGTATATTTCTAAAAATGAAAATAATCAAGATTTTTACATATCATGTTTTTTAAATGTCATTTCATTTTTTTTTCAGTAGCCCCCTTAAATCTATATTTTTTTGTTTTTGTAAATTGAAAGATGAAATTTGACAAAAATATTTTTTAAAATATTTTCTGATTTTGAAATATGTTTTTTAAAAATAAGTTCCACTGTTGTTTGTTCATGGTTTTAATGTTATCTCCCTATTTCCAATAGCTTTTAATCTATCACCAATATTTTTCTATATTTTTCATAATAGAATATCGCTCATTCATTTCTCTTATTGTCATATCTTTTCTTGTTTTTATAATTATTTTCATGTTCTTTTCCTCCTATTTGTCTCGTATTTTTTTCGTGTTCATCAGAAATCAAATCTTATTAACTATATTTACAGGCTTCCGATATTTCTTACATGACATACAACAAAATAATGTATGAAACAATCAGCTTTAAAACAAGAAACACTTCAAACTTACAATTTAAAGAATAATAGATACTGTTTACATTGATAAATTAAAAATGAAATTTGACTTACATGCCGGTATAAAATGCATAATAAAATGCATAATAGCACAAATAACGCTGGCCTTATTCTCTTCACGGAAAGGTTTCGATTCTTTTGTGAAAGTAGATTTGCCAGTGGCTTGACAAATTGAAACCAAATGCATTTAAAATTATAAACAATCTGATACTTGTCGCTCTCCATGTCACTCAATTTTTCTCTACAAAAACAAGTTAGTCCATTAAAATAATTATTCAGGATGCTCGAGCGCATGATGATAACGCTGTAAAAAATTTGGATATTCTAGCAACAAGTTGCAATGTTTGAACGTTCTACATAATTATTTTGGTAGTAAAACAATTATTTTCAGATCTAGCTAAATTTTTAGATACTTTAGCAGAAATTGTTCTTTCCGTATATATAAATTTATATTTAAAAAAAAAATCATTGCTCAAACTGCGTAATTATAGAAATTCGCGATGGCGAACTTCTATAATTATATTATAAATATTTTTTTCGATGAAAAAAATTATTCTTATTAGCAAATGTATGTAGACCTTGCAATGCATATTTTATGAATACTTGCTCTTCTCCCAAAGCTGATGCGCGCTCGTGAAAAGATTCAATTCCAGACATATCCATGATAATATCGCATTCGTGCGATGTCGCGATTGAAATATTTCAGTGGCAATGCGTTTCCGGAACCATGAAAAAGCTACGGTGCCTCTAGGCCGCGGGATCTCGCGCGGTTTCCGAAGGCTTCCGCATAATTTCCCAGCGACGAGTGAAGATGATGACGCGAAGAGCAATGGGGCACGAGACCGATAAATTTTAGAGGCAAGAATGGAGAAAACATTAACGGGCGCGCGTGGATGTCGACAGAGGTCCGCACGATGTTAGGAGTATCCGCTTCTGATAAACTTACTCGACTAGAGATTACGAGAGACTTCTCTCGTAAAGAACAATTCTCTGTAAAGAAGAGACATACGAAAGACGAGCATAGATGCGAGAGGAAGAAACATCGGAATGCGCAATCGGAAGTTGATTTAGAATCATAATATACTATCGCGATACATTATCGCGTTTTGTCGCCCGAACAAGAGCTTTTAAGGGAATCCTGAAGTCGTCTGTGTTTTACCGATTTTTCCTTTATATATAAATTAAAAAATTCTTTTTCACAATTAAAATATAAACGATAATGTAGTTCAAATCGGTCGACTTCATGTCAAAAACGAAAAAAATTGAAAAATTACAATTTTTTATCGGCTTCTAGCGTTTAACTAATATTTGCTTTATATAAAAGTTTTGTACTTTGTATGTATAAAATAATCTTGGCTTGAACTATAGATATTACATGACAAACAAAATTGAGTTCTTAAAATTATAGGATATTTAATATGAAAGATTAGTTATAAAATTTGTATATATGTGTGCGTGCGATATTGATGTAATAATGTGTAATATTGTGTCAATGACACATAAATTGTATGTGTATAGATCCTATTGAATCGCTAAAATAGATGAATTATTATTCTAAATTCATTCTACCCCTTAAAATCTGTTTTTTTATTTCTATACTAGATCACTACAATTCTCTTTCTCGCTCTCGTTAAATATCAAATATATATTTATATATCTAATATATATCTATCTCATTTTAAGTTCAAAAAGTATACGTTACTTCAAACACAGAAAACAGACCTTTAGTTTCCCTTTGTTATGTAGACTCCACATTTTACTCGCCAGTTTAATGACGAGACCGGAATTTATCGGTGTTCGCGTAACTACGTTTCACACCGGATTTTAAAACAGGTGCGATATAGCGCTTCCGTGACATTTTCGATGAAAGGGATCCTTTTTACCATGTAATGTAATTGAAAGTTTCATCCACCGGAAGCGAACGAATTCTCGCCAGCTCATCCACTCTACTGGATGGACCATGATTATACTTGTAGCATCGCAGCCGCGGGTGAATTGAACATCACTTCGCGACACAAGGGACAATACCTTTTATTCTCTCTTTTCCCCTCGTCCTTTAGTGCATCCTGTTGAGAAGTTTCTCTCGACTAATGAAATTTCTCTCGGGAGGAAGGATGCGTTCCCTTTAGTCGAACGATAAACGCCTTTCGACGTTGCTCGGAGTCAATCAGATTGTAGTCTCCTCCAATGGGAAAAGAGCACAGTCGGATATTGAATGGAAGAAAGTTTTGGAACAAGTTAAAAGGGAAATTGAAGCGCCGAAACATGAGTGGAACAAAGGATTTGACGATTTTCTAAACGTGCGATAACGTTCTTATTGCAGATAGAAATTTCTGTTTTCACAGAAAGAACTATTTTGCTGAAGGATCTAAAAATTTTACTACATACAAATTTAAAAATAATTTTATTAGATCATTAAACTATAAATTATGTGAAACTTGAATTAGTTGCTAGAAAGTTAAAACTTTTTATGGCATTGTTTATATGATTGATGGTCCAACAAAATTATTTTCAGATACCTAGCTCAATTTTTAGATCCTTCAATAAAATTATTCTTTCCGTGTTGTTAGAACATTGAAATTGAATAAAATAAAACAAAAGATTTGAATATTAAAAAAATGGGTTATCTTATGCGTTCTGTATTCGTTAAAAATGAGAAAACTATAGAGTTTACCTTACAAGAATAAAAGTGAGGAACTATTTTATTGCAAACCTGTAGAGTGTTAAACTCGCGTAAGTGCGCAAGTCCCCGATAAAACTAAACGATATCCTCATTGGAAAAAAAACGGAAGCCATTCTCTTTCGAGCCGGACGCGAAACGTTTTTATTTTCACTTCGTTTTGTGGTCAAGCGAGGTTATTCCACGCTCTCGATCATGTACGGCACGAGAGCCGATATCGGTCGAGAAACTTTACAGGAAGAGGGAAAGGCAAGAACAGCGAGCAAAGTCGATGAGAAAGGAGCAGAGAGAAAGAGAGAGAGAGAGAGAGAGAGAGAGAGAGAGAGAGAGAGAGAGAGAGAGAGAGAGAGAGAGAGAAGGTTATTGGATATATATATATATATTGGAAAATGGGTTTTCCTACGGCCTGAGATTGCGGTCGCGAAATTCGGGAAGCGGAAGAGATGAAGAGAAGAGAGGAAGGGAGAAGAAAGAAGAGCTGCTTCGGCGTCTCGCGAACCGCAAAATGAGAGATCGCGGCGTTTATCATAGAGAATGCATTTCGCATTTGCGTAGCGCAACCTTGCCAAGGCTTTCGCGTAATTCGAGCCGTACAAGTGGAGAATGCAGGAATCCGCGCAGTATGTAATATCTTACGATAGGAAAGAGTTAAATTACTCGTTTCTCTTTCTCTCTATTCCTTCGTCTCTCTTGTAGCCACCTGCATTCGCGGAGATGCACGCAAGATACTCGCGACTGTTGCGGAAAAAATTGCGGGCTGGCTAAGGAATTAATTGCGATTGCGGGCATTTAATAGTATAACAGCGCAGCAACTTAATGGTAATCGCTCGCACGAATGTTTGTTGCTGAATTAATATTCGCGTGATGCCTGCGTAGAAAATTTATGAGATTCCAAATGGCGATCCCGAGTGGAAAACGACATCGCGCGTTTCAATAAATAATGTGATATAGTTATGCATAAAGGGAAATGTATATATCTCGCAGGAATGCGAGAAAACAATTATAATATTTTTAATTTGTAGAATTTAGAGCTGTTATGTGTCATTTTATATTATTTTGTTATAATACAATTACAAAATTGACGTAAAATGCAAATTTTTAATCTCTTTAATGTCATTGAGATATTATATGCGGTTTTCTTTTTTCAATGCTTTTTCATTACTTATGAATTATTTGTTATTAATGAAGATACATTTGCTTGTTATCGTTATATTTTCTTATGTCTCATGTTTCGATTGAAAAAAAATTTTATACAATATATTTGTTTTTAAAAGATTATAAACAATCAAATTAGATTGAATATGCTATACCTTAATTATTTCCATATAATGAAAAAAATTTACTAAATCTTAATACATAATTTCTTTGAATAATACTAACTAAACATTAACTTTCAATAAATAAATATTTAATGAAAAATAAAAAATGATAGAAATTAATGGTTCCTCCACAAAATAAATATATGTTTGCATTTAGTAAATATTTACTTAGAATTAATTCAAACAAATATTTTTTTAAGATTTGGTATTTTTTTCGGTATAGGTGTAGCAAAGAATATAAATACGATTGAAAAAAGATGTTTGTTCACGATACAACATGGAACATTATATGTGGATGGAACATTATATGTTACATTTAAATTAATGGGATTATATGTCTTTTTCCAGCTCATGTGGATAACGAGGTGTACTTAGGAAGAGCGTTGGAGAGACTCGGCGACGCCGCGCTAAAAGAACAAGAACCGGACATAGGCGCGGCGTTTCTCAAATTCGCGGTGGTCACGAAAGAATTGAGTGCCCTCATGAAAACCCTGGTATGTGTAAAACCCTACAAGCAAAATTTGTGTCAACATATGCGAATCACGGAATATTCCATGCTTTTATTCCTGATGATTCTTCGTGACGCACGGAATATTCCGGTTCTTGTCGCTTTTAACCACGTATTTTACGTGACGATGAATAAATTCTCGGTCATTAATAAGAATAAATTAAAAAAGGACTTTGCTAAAAGTATTGAAAGCATAACGTAGTTAAGTAATCGTATTGTGGGTATGATAAAAATATGAAAAAGTTCTAAGCGGCACGTTACACTGTTAAATCTATAGTTTCAAATTTAATTCAATTTTAATTCCATTGTTTTTATATAAAATAACGATATATTAAGTAAGAGCAATAGCGACTTACATTAGATTTAAATTTGACACTGTAAATTTAATAGCGTATACTTTAAAAAATATTGATATGGATTTAACATTTAACGCTGTATATAATTCTCTGTATTGATGTTAACATCATTACAGAAACATGATCAGAATGTTCTGATTGAAAATGGATGAATTGGAAGACTCTGATTACATCGATCAGAATTCTGATTCGTCCATTTTCCACCAGAAGCAAAATTCTAATTAAGATCCAATCAGACATTTTTCTGGATTTAACGTTATGTTTTAAATTCACACCGTGATATTAACACCAACACAGTAAGAATTATATAAACACCGCATGGTCACACTGGTGTTAAATTCACACATTTTTTAGAGTGTAACATCCGAAGAAAAATTCTTCAAAATTACAAACATGCGTTGTTGGTATCTTCACCTGATCTCAACTTTTACAATTCATCGTGGATATATTAAAACGGTGTCCATAAACACGTCCTCGATGCGCCGTGTACGCGTTATTGGAAAAATCTCTTCATGGTCCATCGTCACTAATGGCAACGACCTACACATAGCCTGGCGTAGTACGCTCATCTCGTATGTTAACGTACGCGCAAGAATAGAATTTCTAAACCAGAAACGATCAATATAAAACGCGTGTACCGGCATGCGCAACGAAATAAAATTTCGCGCTCACGAGTTGTGGAAACTGTCGATTGCACGAGACTTTCGCGAGTTAGTGGTACGCTCGAGGAAGAACTGCAGACCGTCGACCGCGTTTTCTCATCCGAGGACATATGGCATTTGCAACACTCATCCTGTCAGAAAAGCGAATTGTTCCGCTAGAACAATTTTCCGTCGTCGGGATGACACTTTTGAACCGCGATTGAATAGCGTAACGCGTATCAGATATCTGGGTCACAATGAATAATGAATACAAGATGTAAATTTATGTGATGGACTCTCTACTTTTTGCGCTTATAATCTTCGTTTAACATTCAAGTAACTTTCAACTATCAAACATTTCAATTTTTATCTCGCGATTTTGAATTTGCTTAATCCCGATAGAAATTTCATTACATTTTTTTTAGCAGTTACTGAATAGTTACATTAATTCTGTTTAGTAACTAAAAGTAATTAAAAGTAAAATTATTTAAAATTCCAATTAAGATGTAACGCTTTGCCTGCTATTATTGTGCACTATAATCTTATAACAGAGTCTGACCACGAGATAACAAACTTTTGATCTCGTTATTTTTGTCAACTTCAGTAAATTAGAATAAGATAATAGAATGAGATATAAAAAAGAGACTCTATACACACACACACACACACACACACACACACACACACACACACACACACACACACACACACACACACACACCCTTCTTTCTTATTTTTGTTTGATAAAATTATTCGTGGCCATATAGGTTCTCTACTACGCACAAAAGATGCACAAAATCCATTTACTGAACAAAAATAGGATAATAAGATTATATACATTATTTTAACTAATACAAATCTATTAATGTTACATAATAACTGAACAGATGTCTTAATAATTGACATATCTTTTTTAAAAAAATTGCTTCAGTCACTGAATAAAAATCTCATCAAATTTTTGTCCATTTTCTACATAAAATTGTTACAACTAATAAGAATACAATAATATTAGATAGTAATTGGATGAATGTTTAAGAAAATTACACACATTTCTATCAGAGAATTGTTATCTTGTAATCAGCAATTAATTAGCCTGAATCGCTTTGAGTATTTGAAGAACGTTTTCAAATATTATTTAAGAATCTCTGGTTTTAAATAATATTTGAAACAGTTTGAATCTTTATGTGATTAAATTGTTTGAAAACTTTCAGAAGAAAACTCGAACTTATCGCTGCTTGCAATATGCATCTCGATTTATATCAAGATTGCATAGCAGAGCACGCACAAGTATCATTGCGAAATCATGAAGAAACCATTTTACGCCTTGCGAATTACCGCTATTACTGTTATTATGTGCATACATCATATATAAGCAAGATCAACTCTTTCTATTTATTTTTTATTTAAATGTAGTAAACTCATTGCACCTAAATATTTTGACTTTTTCTTTTCTAACAAAAAAGTCGATTTTATTATTTTTTATTTAGATATAGCGAATTCATTACGAATATGTTGACTCGCTCTTTTTTAACTAAAAATAAATTCAATTATCATGCAAGAAATATTATTACTACATATTTTTCACACTGCTCAGTCCATTATGTCATCACTTCGTAAAAGATATTAAAAGTCTCCTCGCCATGCTCGTATATTTTCACTTTTCTGACATTTAATTGCACGTCTATTACTATATGTTTGCTGATTGTGCTCTGCGAAGAAAATCCTCTGTGTTCACTCGTAATATTTTACCGTAATCGCTTCTCTCGTCTTTCTTTTCTTCAGACTCGAGGTTGCTGTCGTCATTCCGTCGAATTAAGAAACTTAATATATATAGCGTATACCATGTTAACCGGATAGATTTTCGCGCAGAAAAATCTGGAAAATATGTTAGAGATGAAATTTCACGTAATGAAATAATATTGCATAGCAGAATAATAAGTTTATACCGCTTCTGATTACTTTTTTAAACCGAATCAGTGAAAATTTCGCTGGAAAGAGAAACATAGATTTCACTGAGGATGAGTATTTCATTTATTTTCAATACTCACTGTGCTCTTTCATCTTACGTTTCACTGTGACAAGTGGAAGTAAAATTTCACTGTAAAATCAGTCACACATGTTTGATGCGAGATTCAGCTCTTAAAACTTTCTATATTTTTGGTTGTGTGCTGTTTCTTGGAAAAGAATTCTGTGAAGTAAAATTCGTATTCAACTATTCAGCTTCAGTATCACGTGTTACTTTCTCACACTTAAGTTCATTGTTTAGAGCAACTATAGTTTTTCAGCAATATAATATTACTGATTGAAATGTCCAACATCAACTGATTTCTTTCAGTGAGATTCATCAAATACAATATTATACTCATAACTGCTGCCATAATACTTTTTATCGTTTCTCGTAATACATTAGTTCCATTTAAAAGAGCACATTTATGATGTACACAAAGAGCTCGGTCTACAATACATATCAATTAGATCGTATTAATAATCACATCAATACACATCAATGATCGTATTAATGAATTGAATTCTAAGAAAATGATATCATGGAAGAAGAAGCGCAAATAAAAATAAATGTGGATGTTCGTGCAAAGTATCCTCCCAGTGGCAATAAATCGACCAAAAATAAGGGAGGCGGAAAAGGATATAATCATTCGGGCGTGGATTTTAGTTGCGGATTCAAACTGGTTTTGTCTATGTTCCGACAGTTTTCTAAGCTCGCGCTATATGATTAGCAGCATAAATCGGGTCGTCTCACGGCTGTGAGATAATTACGTTTACTGAAGCGTGCACGGACGTTATGAGCTACGAGAGCGAGCGGTTAAGAGACTCTCCTAGATTCTATCACGCACGAACGACCCTGCGAATTTATATTTGTCGGGAACTTTTAAATGCGCACACTCGTGATTTTAACGTGGCTCTTAATGTATCAGAGACGGGGGGACTGAATCTAAATTCCGGCGTTTAAACACGATTTTTTTTTTTCCACCGTGACCGTTTCTCCGATCCGAACCATTACATCCGATCCTTTACTATGATGTCATACGTACAATTGGTTAAAATGTATATCTGCATCTGATATTGGCTTCGATTCAAATTGCGCGATGCACTCCGGCAAAAGCCGGAAGCAATATCCGACTCTTCTAAGAACCTACTCGATATCTGAACCGAAATTAGCATATCTTATCGATTAACTTGAGATAATTTTGAAGCATGGAATTTATCGTCATCTTAATATTAAAAGTTCATATAGAAATAACTTAAATTAAATAACTCAGAAATTTTTTATAGAAAAAGACAAAATAATGTTTACAAATTGCAATTATTTATTCTGAATAGCATAAGATTGGCAAGATATTGGTTAAAGATTGGCATGCAGAGAGAAAGATTGGAAATATATTCGGTTTTCAATATTATGTCAATAAATTATGCTACTAGAGACATTAAATATTTGCGAAAATTCTAATATCATTCTCCTATTTTTTTAAGAACGAAAATTTAAAAACAAATAAAAACAAATGTTTTTTTTTATTTGTTCAATATTTAATTTACAACAAATAATTACATAATTAAATTTTAATCGATGATTTTGTAATATAAATCTTTGGTAAAGAAAATCAGATAATGATTTATTAGGAACAATTACACTAGAAAAAAAAATTTAGCTAAACTTTTAACAGCAATACTTTATTGTATATAACAATAAGAGTTACTTCTGCTAAACAGTTTTTATTAAAGATAATTCTTGCCTATTAAAAATTTTTGCCTATAATAAAATTAATTAAATGAGATTTTGTTATCATATTGTGAACGATTTTATCTACTAAATAAAGTGCAGTTTGTGTCATTTCCATTCACGAGTCTTGCTTTTCTTGTGAGGAAGTGTCGTCTTTACGAGTCGGTTGCACTCGCAAGCTCATTATGCGGCACGTTTGAGCGCTTTCCGAATCACTTTCCACAAGAGTCGGGAGCAGCCGAGGGATCGCCCTCGAGAAAACCAGGCTCCGAGGAGGAAACTGCGATTCTATTCAGGGCGAGCGAGGCGACGGTCTAAGCAAAGTGCTGACGCGAATCGACGGTGATTCACTATTTACCGGTCGGATAGAGCCAGGCGGTGGTCGATTCCGACTACGGGATCCCGAAGGCTCGCATTTTTTCATCGCCATTTTCCATTCGAGTCCTGACCGGTTATTCTGATAAATAGATAAAATATTACCCTTTGGTCAATTTGAAACTCGTATTGTTCCGTGGAGATAACGAAAGCTAATATTTTCATGTCTGCGTTTAATAGATACCGAGACATGTACGCAATCAGTATTTTTATCACAATGTTTACCGTTGTTGAATCAGTGATGCTGTGCGCCACAACAAAATGAATATTCTGATTATTAATGTAAAGGAAGATAAGAGACATAATTTACATTATATATATAGTATTTAAATATTTATTATCAGATAAATATATTTTTTTTAATTTTTATATGTCCTAATTAAGATTTTAATTTAATTTATTTGGGAAAATATCTCTTTTTTCGAGATGTTTTTTTTGTTCCACTTTACAATGTATCTTTTAAATTTTTTATGATTTAGAAAGCTAATTAATCTTAACGTTATATTTAATTAATTAAGAAACATTATGTGTTAATTATTGATCTTGCTATTCCAGATGCAAAACATCAACAACATTGTGATGTTTCCGTTGGATTCGGTTTTGAAGGGTGATCTGAGGGGCGTGAAGGGGGACCTAAAGAGGCCCTTCGAGAAAGCCTGGAAAGACTATGAGGCTAAGTACGCGAAAATCGAAAAAGAAAAGAAGCAGCATGCGAAGGAAGCCGGTTTGATTCGTACAGAGGTCACACCCGCCGAAATTGCAGATGAAATGGAGAAGGAAAGACGATTGTTTCAATTACAAATGTGCGAGGTGGGTGATGCAGGTCCGAGCTGCGCGAGTATATAAACGATGTAAAATAACATCACGCCAATATTGAGACATATGGATGTTATCAATGCATGTTATCGATGCGCGACATCGATATCCGGTCGTTTAGATATTGTCATGCGACAGCTGAAAAATGTATACCTACTTTCTAACTTGAAAACTTCATTTACATTCCAGCCTCTTTTCGACTTTTCGCGATTTACATTTTGTATACAATTGATACAAGGTGTCCGAAACTATATTCTATCTTGAAAATCATTCAACTAACATGATAAAAATTTAATATAAATAATTTATAATATGAAATTAAATATGAAAAAATATATAGAATTAAATTTATTTAATAAAATATATCAAATTCTATATATAAATAATT